AGTCAGTCAGTCCCCAGCCTTGAAAAAAACACAGGGGCGTGTCACACTTAGAAACAGCGTTAGAAAGACATATAGGTATATAGACCCTACCCTTGTACTATATCCTTTTATATAGTACTAGGGTAGGGTCTATATACCTATATGTCTTTCTAACGCTGTTTCTAAGCGTGACACGCCTCTGTGGAAAAAAACAATGCACATGCTAGACTGAAGGTAACAATTTCAACCGTGGCACAAGGTTACTAATGTACCCAGGTGTCAGAGCCCTATGCCATAATTGGTTACAATGTGTGATCTAATAGATCGTGTGTCATGCTACACACACACACTATGAGGACCGTTTGTCACAGTTCAGCACCGTGTCTCACTTCACCTTACCCCCAGGAGGGTTTGCTGGGTACAACAATGTTCCCTGGTTCTCATTGAACAAAGCGATCGTAGCGCAACGACAACAATGTTTAAGTATGGGAGCTACGATCACCTCAACGTTACGACTGCTATGTGGAAAGGACACTGTGGTTCTCGACGTTGTGTTACAAGTCGACTAATGATCCAGGGGATGTTACAGTTTGGGACTTGACAGATTGTGTGTCACGCATCATTTCAGCCAGAAACAGTCCATAAGATGTCTATCCAATACGTCATTCAGGTGACAAAACGTGATTTGAAGTGTCTGTTGGTTAATTACCGATGGTAATTGTGTGTTGATCGCTGCTCAGGTTTCAGTAAGAGTATTTTACAATTTTCGCAATATTCGAGCATTATCACTGACTGACTGAGTTTGGTTTTACGCCGCTTTTAACAATTTTCCAGCAACATCACGGCGGGGAACACCAGAAATGGGCTTCACACATTGTACCCATGTGGGGATTCGAACCCGGGTCTTCGGCGTGACGAGCTAACGCTTTAACCACTAGGCTACCCAACCGCCCCTCGAGCATTATCAGCACGACGAATACAAAAATGGTCCCCACACATTTTACCAGCTTGGGAAATCGAACACAGAACTTCAGCTGAACGCTTTAACCATTAGGCTACCCCATCGACCAGGTTCCCGTGAGCCAGGGACCCGTTCCACAAAGTGACTGTAGCGCTAAGATAATCCCATGCTTTAACATAGGCTTACGATCACCGTAGTGCTGAGATTGATTTGTGGAACGGGTCCCCGGCTCATGCATTCAGTCACTGGGGCGGTGGGGTAGCCTAGTGGTTAAAGCGTTCGCTCGTCACGCCGAGGCCCGGGTTCGATTCCCCACATGGGTACAATGTGAGAAGTCCATTTCTGGCGTCCCCCGCCGTGATATTATTGGAATATTGCTAAAATCGGCGTAAAATCCACCTCACTCACTTTCAGTCACTAACATTCCTGGGTAGGCAGCGACAATCTGCACCCCGACGTTTCTGGAATTGAGCAGCATTCACACATGATATGCCATATAATGAGCACTTATAGAAAACGCCACTGCTGGCATAGTCAGAATGCAGGGAAGAGCCCTGTGATGTGCACGCCCGTGTCACCGTCACGTCGACATCCCCTGTCGCTGGGTGCAGTTAATAGAAATCTTAGTGTCTCGGGTCCTTCCCACAACTCATGTCTCTCACTTGTCATATTCCGGGAATGTGTCACGTAACTTCTCCATACTGGGAGAACTGAAAAACCCGTCATATGTTGTAACAATCACAACCAATACTGTATGCAATGTATTACTCGTTCACATTACTTTCTCCTGTCATCCTCAATTTGCATATGGCGGATATGATTTTTTTAGAAATGTTCCTTTACACCAGTAGCAGGGTAAAGAGGAACTACAATTGTTACAAATGTCATGAGAAACTAACATGTCATGTGACATCAATGCTCTGACACAAATGTCATGTGAAACTAACATGGCTTCATGTGACATCAATCCTCTGTCTGACTCTAATGTCATGTGAAACTAGCATCTCATGCTACATCAACGCTCTGTGTGACACAAATGTCATGTGAAACTAACATGGCTTCATGTGACATCAACGCTCTGTCTGACACAAATGTCATGCGAAACAAAAATGGCTTCATGTGACATCAACGCTCTGTCTGACGCAAATGTCATGGGAAACAAAAATGGCTTCATGTGACATCAACGCTCTGTGTGACACAAACGTCATGGGAAACCAACATGGCTTCATGCGACATCAACGCTCTGTCTGACACAAATGTCATGAGAAACTAACATGGCTTCATGCGACATCAACGCTCTGTCTGACTCAAATGTCATGAGAAACTAACATGGCTTCATGCGACATCAAGGCTCTGTCTGACGCAAATATCAGGAGAAACTAACATGGCTTCATGCGACATCAACGCTCTGTGTGACACAAATGTCATGTGAAACTAGCATGGCTTCATGCGACATCAAGGCTCTGTCTGACGCAAATGTCATGTGAAACTAACATGGCTTCATGCGACATCAAGGCTCTGTCTGACACAAAAGTTATGTGAAACTAGCATGGCTTCATGCGACATCAACGCTCTGTCTGACACAAATGTCATGAGAAACTAACATGGCTTCATGCGACATCAAGGCTCTGTCTGACACAAATATCAGGAGAAACTAACATGGCTTCATGCGACATCAAGGCTCTGTCTGACTCAAATGTCATGGCTTCATGCGACAGAAACTAACATGGCTTCATGCGACATCAAGGCTCTGTCTGACTCAAATGTCTGACTAACATGGCTTCATGCGACATGACACAAATGTCATGTGAAACTAACATGGCTTCATGCGACATCAAGGCTCTGTCTGACACAAATGTCATGTGAAACTATCATGGCTTCATGCGACATCATGCGACATCAAGGCTCTGTCTGACGCAAATGTCATCAAGGCTGAAACTATCATGGAAACTTCATGCGACATCAAGGCAAATGTCATGTGAAACTCTGGACGCAAATGTCATGTGAAACTATCATGGCTTCATGCGACATCAAGGCTCTGTCTGACGCAAATGTCATGTGAAACTATCATGGCTTCATGCGACATCAAGGCTCTGTCTGACGCAAATGTCATGTGAAACTAACATGGCTTCATGCGACATCAAGGCTCTGTCTGACACAAATGTCATGTGAAACTAACATGGCTTCATGCGACATTCACAAATGTCGAAACTATCAATGCGACATCAGGCTCTGTCTGACACAAATGTCAGGAGAAACTAACATGGCTTCATGCGACATCAAGGCTCTGTCTGACGCAAATGTCAGGAGAAACTAACATGGCTTCATGCGACATCAAGGCTCTGTCTGACGCAAATGTCAGGAGAAACTAGCATGGCTTCATGCGACATCAAGGCTCTGTCTGACACAAATGTCATGTGAAACTAGCATGGCTTCATGCGACATCAAGGCTCTGTCTGACACAAATGTCATGTGAAACTAACATGGCTTCATGCGACATCAAGGCTCTGTCTGACACAAATGTCAGGAGAAACTAACATGGCTTCATGTGACATCAAGGCTCTGTCTGACACAAATGTCATGTGAAACTAGCATGGCTTCATGCGACATCAAGGCTCTGTCTGGACATGCGACAAATGTCATGGAGAAACTAACATGGCTTCATGCGACATCAAGGCTCTGTCTGACACAAATGTCATGTGAAACTAGCATGGCTTCATGCGACATCAAGGCTCTGTCTGACACAAATGTCATGTGAAACTAACATGGCTTCATGCGACATCAAGGCTCTGTCTGACACAAATGTCATGTGAAACTAACATGGCTTCATGCGACATCAAGCCTCTGTCTGACACAAATGTCATGTGAAACTATCATGGCTTCATGTGAAATCGACACACTTGCAGGTATCGGGTGGTCAGGCTTGATGCATGGCAGTGTATTCAAAATGTGTGGATCGATGCTCATGGGGTCAGTCACTGGATTGTCCAGTCCAAAAACAGATTACTTAAAGTCCGGCGTGTTACAGCAGGAATATTGAGCGCGTTGTGTGGAAACCCGTTTTGGTGAATAAAAAGCAACAACCCCGTACGAAACAACGTCGAACCGTTCTACATGAGTAGACCACGGCTTTTTAAAAATATATGTTAATCTTCAGCTGATCTTGTGCTGATTCAGTCAGTATGCTCCCTGTAAACTGTGTTTACAACCAATCGAGAAAATGATATACTATGTGCAGGAATATTTTCGTCACGGTTTTGTCGACATCTGCACCTCAAATAACTACTGTTCAGATATCAGAAGTGAAATGTGTCAATAACTCAGTTAGGGTAGCGTTTTTTCCCATTCATGTTTTGGCAACAGCGTGAGAAAAAAAGATTTTTCAAAGACGGGATCATATGACATAGCCGCTCACCCAGAGGGGAGCTAATCCCCTCGGTACACTCGAAACGCACACGATAATTAAAGCTAAGCGGCTGAAAATCTTCTCTTTTCTACCGCCCCGTGGAACGGAGCGGGTCTCGTGCTCTTTAAACACCTCGAAATATGGGCAAACAAGCCTCAACGTCAGCTCATTGTGTTCGCAAGAAAGCGGCCTACCATCTAAAAGGAAATGAATATTTAATGCCGAAATCCACCTGTCGTCTGTCCCGTGCCTTTCCAAATTGGCAGACACACAAACACCATCATCACTTCGACAATAACAGGATTATCGGAGCCCCTTTATGCAATACTAACTTTTGTAATAGCCGGCTCGTCATAGTGACGAGCGCCGTTGTGAGGCGATCTTTCTCGCCGACCATACAAACACCCCCTGTTTCCTATGCCGCTCGGTGTGTACAACGTCGGCTAGCTTGATTATTAAGTCATCTAGCCAGACGCACTTTCGTTTGACTCAATACCCGAACTTGAAACTTCACTCAACACGACTCGACACAAGGCGGCACCCCTCATAATGGTACGGCCCATTTCCCCCTGCGACCGATTCATCAACGGTGCGAGTGGACTCGCCGCCCGTCTCAGCCAATGAAACAAGTGAATACAGCCATCAATTAGTTGACCAATTGCGGTGGCATCAACTATCGTATAAAGCACGTTTGTCGTGTAGGAATTACTAGTGCATAGTACATTGTCAAAACAACGTAGCCGCGATAACATCAGTCCACATGTCTGCCAGCACGATCATGTAGTTTGTGAACACAACCGATAAACGACAGGCCATATAGCGTATCACGAGACGTGCACTGCACGTGCAGGAACTGACGCATGAGATAATATTATATTATGCAGAATGAATGGAGCTGGCAACTTATTCTGCTCTTTGGTCGTCTGTATTGTCATTTTTGGAATAACCAACGGGAGAAAGTTAAAGTGTGGAAAATGTGATGAGGGTCGCTGTCCGATTCTACACTACTGTGTCGGCGATGTCGTCAAGGACCACTGTGGGTGTTGCGCAGTATGCTCCAGCGACGTGTACCAGCCGACAAAGAAAAAAAGTAAGTTCATTATCAGTGCTATGATTTGACTTTGAAAGGGGTAGTGTGTGCACTTTATACTCAGTCCAAGTCACCAAGTTACTTGGCTAGGGGCCCAATTAAAAAGTACAGTTAGGTATAGTAAGGCATAGCCGTATCTGAAAAAAGGCATGCGCCACCCCTATCACCACCCCACCAACCTGAGAATCCCCTGTGTTGATGTTCGGTCAAACATTACTCGTGATGAAACTGACAATCTGACATAAAAAATCATCACCTGAATCTGATAACAAAATTATATTTTATAGTTATGTATTAAAAATATGATATGTCATTCAGATCAGTAGGCTATACTGCATGGATATATCTATTCTGTATATTTCCCCATCTCCTAAACGATATATGTAATATTCCGCTCGGCATGTTTCTATATTGTCATTCAGTGGGGTTTCACGACCTGTTTTGTAACGATGTTTTGCACGTCAGGTTGTAAACGACACAGTGTTGACGTACGTACGTGTTTTGTTCAGGATAATGTTCCGAATCTCGACACGGTCTTGAGTACTTCGGCGCGGTGTTACATTTAAGCGCATGTTATTTAGAAAAATGCACATTAATGTGTGAACTAGTTTTATGAAGAAAGCAACTTATTGTTATAGGATATTTATGTAGCGCACATATCCACTCAACTAGTACATGCTCTATGTAACATCCCTGGTTTACGATTAACAAATACCATGTAACTTCAAATTTTGTTTTGTCTTTTTTTCATGTGATTGTGCGGCAGTCTTTTAATAGATTTGATAAAACAAATACCCCCAAACGTACTGAATATTATAAAAAGGAAAATAACACGTTATTTACATATGTCTTAATTCGAAAATAGAAACAGACTTTTTCTCCCAAGAAAGAAGAACCTCTTGAATGTGTGTTAATCCTGTGAAACGGTTCTTGCTGTATGCTATTTGACAAGCGGGCTTGAGTCCAACTCCACCCCCTGTAGCGTAGTATTGCCAGATTGGGGGCTGGTAACGTAATTTTGTAGTAATTTTCACATCACAGTTAACACTACCCTATCATCATCTGGTTCAAAGACTAACCTGTGTATGTGGAAGTGCTTTTGTAGTCTATACCTAGTGACACCCTCTCTCTATAGTTGACGGTCTCTCTCTCTCTCTCTCTCTCTCTCTCTCTCTCTCTCTCTCTCTCTCTCTCTCTCTCTCTCTCTCTCTCTCTCTCTCTCTCTCTCTCTCTCTCTCTCTCTCTCTCTTTCAAAATAAACAACCACGATATGTGTGACAGTGATGATCTTCTTGCACAAGCTGTTCATAGATGATTTATTCTTATATTATTTCTAAAGTTTACATAGGGACAGTTTAGTCTACAGCACGGGCGATACCTGACAGCCTTTTCCCACTTATAAGCTATAAATATTATATACATTTTACAAGTCAGACTGACCTGCATATCTGTACAGTATTATATCGAGTCGACCGGTCCTTGAAATGGGCGCAGCGTCTTGCTGTTGATGACACACGTGTAGAAGTGTTACAAAACATGCATACATGTTGTATGTATATTTCACTCGGCCTATATACATCAAGGCGTTGGCGGCTATTGTCTATTGAAACAGAAATTTGCCATCCCGTATGTTGTCCAAAATAATGATGGGTTAGGTTTCTAGAATGAAGTGTTTGACTGTGACGTCAGCGATGTCAGGTTGACATTTACCGTAAAATGGTATTTAATGTCAACTAAATATATTACTTTGTCTTAGACAGCACACATAATGCCTCGTTGTAGCATTCGGTGATACGTGTGCAATTGTTTCACGATAAACAGTTTTGACATTCAGGGTACGAAAGATCGATCACATTAATTTAAACTGTATCGCTCTGCAAACATTAGCTAACTCACACCTGTCTGTTTTTAGGTGTCTGATTTTGTTGTTGTTACAGCTGGATAGCGCTCAAGTATTCAAACTCCGCACTTGCCGTCTAACTTCTGGCACGTAATAACTGACAAAGTCAGACACGCTTTTAAAAATTTTACGATTACAACTTCATGCCATGTTCGTTTAACACGCGGTGTAGGCCATATATCATTATGCTACAGCACTATAGGCAAATACAAACATATGTAAATTGCGTTGGGGAATAGACTGCTTGACTGGGAGAAGGTAACAGGCCCTGCAAGATGAAGTCGATACGTCTCAGCAGGATACATGTTTGTTTTTAATGTAGGTCGTCCCACACTCCACAGTTCGAGACGCTGATGGGAATTCCTCGCATACACCACCCAAACTTTTAATAGATACACTATCTACGATTAAACTGGAGATCGTGACCCCAGGAAACAATAGTTCAACACAGAGCGGTTGTCGACGCGACTGTGACACTTGCTGCATTTAAGATCATGTATATTTGTTCGATAGGGCTATACAAAACGGAGCCTATGCAAAGGCGTTTGTTGAAAGTATCGGTGAAAGAGTTAAAGCGGTGGGTTTGTTCGCTGTACTAATTTCAGCGGGGTTTAGAATCTCATTTGAAGGGTTATCAAAAGATTTGTATGGGGATTTTTTGGGTGGGTGTTTGCTGGTTAAGATATTAGCCTTCCCCTCGGGTAGTTTTAAAGGGGTGTCAGTAATTGGAATGTGCGTCTTTGATGGTCAGCTGGGTAAACGAGTTTGTCTCAAGCGTCCATCTTGAACTCTGTCGGTTGTATACAATGTAAATAGTGGCCTCTTCAAATCTTTAATGATGTGTAAAAATGTGCGAGTGGCTCGTGTCTTCATATTTCATACAGGTAAACTACTCTTACTGACACATGTTATATTTGGGATTACACTTTCTCAGTAAAGTACAGATTCCAGTACCGATGGGTCTCAAGCCAACAATCGTACTAGAAACTGTACTTTACTGAGAAAGTGTAATCCTCAATATAGCATGTGTTACATTGACCACTTTGTAAATGGCATTGTGTATTCCTGACTCTTACTGTCCTTTCGACCGCCTCCGTGGTGTAGTGGTTAGAGCGTCCGCCCGGAGTGCGGAAGGTCGCGGGTTCGATCCCCGACCGCGTCATACCAATATGGTACTGGTTAAAATATGGTACTTGTTGGTCCCTGCCTGGCGCTCGGTATTAATGGGTACAACAAGGACTGGTCGGCTCGGAGTCAGTACAATGTGTCTGAGTGAGGTATTCATGCTTCACTGCGGCATGGTATCTCAGTGGGCTAGCACTATAAAACCAGCTTCAGTCTGGGCTAGTACAAGCAGCCGCATATACACATACACACGCATGCACGTCGTCATTTGAGCGAAATATTCTCAAGCACGACGTTAAACCCAATTCCACCACCACCACCTTTCAAAAACATCGTTTTCCGAGCCTACAACGTCCTGCCTCAAGTTATACATCAGCTAAAACATGCTGGTATTACGATTGTTCATTACGATTGTTCGCTTTATCATATACTCTCGGACAAAGTATACACCCATGTCTGATAGTGGTTAACGTAAACATGAAACAAGCTATAAATGGTCATCGATGATGATGTATATGATCTTTGTATCATAGTTGTGTTTTAAGTTGTGTGAAACTGTGCTGTGTTTCGGCGACTCCACTTCCTGGTAATGTTTGCATAACGTTCGTAATGTTTTTGTCAAATCCAATTTTCAAGTGTATGTTTTCTTTTCCCCGACAGTTTTCCTCGACCATGAAACTCCATGTTTCTCTTTCTCTATCTAGAGTACACCCCGCCTGTAGTTTTTACCCACTTACATTTATCAGCATAGATAGTGCAACCAAATTTGCTCAGCTATCAAATGCGATAAGAACAAACTGGATTCCAAATACTTGACGTATGCCCTGACAGCGAGGAGACCTATACCAGTGTGGCTTTCGTTGCACTCGATCCCACCTTTGTATCAACGAACAGTGTGAGCTAAACTAACATTTAAAAACATAACCTTATCTTATTTAAATAATTTTAAAATATGTCTACAAAATATTACATAAGATACAAATTGAGCCCATGACGATGCTTAATTTCAAGAGCTGAAGCTATCTAGACTTGCTAAAAAAATTCAATGTATTCACGCGTCTCAAATGACTTCCGAGTCGTTGCCGCGTAATGTCATATCTCTATACAACTATACATCTCCATTCGCCTTGACAACATGCGAAGTTTACCTTTATGTAAGAGCGTAATTTGACCTATGAATTTGGATAAGTGTTCTTTTTAGTTTCAATTTTATTTTCAGTGAACTAGCTATAAAGCTTGTTAATCTACCATTAGTTCAAAAGGTACAAAGACAGGTGTTTAAAGGCGCCACCAATCGACGTCTGGAGCTGTGACTGTGAATCCTTTGATCGTTGATTCGAACCAACTTCTCGCTGATATTTATCCTGTCTGTACCGTGCCCCGCGACAGCGGTACATTTGTAGGACCTGCATCACTTGGGCTCTCTCTCTCTCTCTCTCTCTCTCTCTCTCTCTCTCCGGGTCCGCTTCAGTATGATGAAATAAAGCGGAATTAAACCAAAATCACTCACTTCCTGAAAGAAAGTTGGTGCCACGCCATGTGAGTAAGGGACGAATTGATGCAAGTGTACGCCAGTTTGTGCTATCCAAACGACCCAATGATTTGACTGAAATTCACATGTATTTCACCTCACCTTTAGCTTAAACGTCAAATGTAGGGTATTGTTGCATGTCAGTTTTCAACAGTTTACATCTGAGAGCTTCCTTAACGCCCTCTTTCATGCTCCCCATATGCCACGATAGATAAACTGACTAGGTGATGATCGCAGGTAGTAAAATGTCAACCTGCAGTGTATTCCCGATCATTTTAACTGTTTACGTTCATACAGCCAGTTATCCCAATGCAACGTTGCCTTTAGCTCTATATCCAAATGGGCGGTGGGGTAGCCTAGTGGTTAAAGCGTTGGCTCGTCACGCCGAAGACCCGGGTTCGAATCCCCACATGGGTACAATGTGTGAAGCCCATTTCTGGTGTC